CCAAATTTTTTAAAGCCACCTTTTGTTGCTCCAGGGATTGTATTCCCTGAATATGAATGTGTGTTCATCTTGGTGTTACTTCCTTTTGAAAAGCTCCCTTTTCTGCATGTGATGGCCCTTGAAAGAAGATGTTAACTGTCCAAAAGGAGGAAGTCATCCTTTATTAATTCTCTCACCCCACTTTGCTGAGATATCCATCAATAAATCATATCTGCCCTAACTTCTATCTCTTCTGCCATTACCTTAACCCAATCTACCATCATCTTGTAATGAAATGGTATTCTTACTGAGCTCTTTTGATCCCTTACTTTTGTACCTTGAAATCTATTTGGCACAGAAAATAGAGTAGACTCTAGGGTATGTCACTGCTCTTACAAAAACTCTGTAATGGTTTTCCATTGCTTATAGAATAAAATATACAACTTCTTTACCATGGTACACATAGTCCAGTAATGATCCTGTTCTGGCCTATCTGTGTGTTCTCACTTTCTGCCATTCTCCTCTGGCTCACTATACTGCCCATCTCTCTATTCCTCAAATGTCTTACCCTTACTTCTGATTCAGGACATTGACAAAAATGGCCTAGAACTTCAACCTAGAACTTTCTTTTCTCTACTCAAATACAAAATAGGTGTTCAATAAATATTTACTGAGAGGAAATTTAGTCATCATCTCACTAGGGATGTGAAGGCCTCAAAAAAGCCCAGGAAACACACTTTCAGTGAATATCTGCTTTTCTTGACACTGCCACATCGGCAACAAAATAGATTAGCTCCTTACTCTATAGCAGATACAGCAATACACTCCAAATAAGTTAAAAAAGACTAACACTGAAAATTAAAACATTAGGAAACCTAGATGGAAATGAAATAGTAACTTTATCCTAAATGTGTAAGGGAAGAAGCAGAGAAGACTATCAACAAGAAAGCAGACAAGAGCAATTATAATAAAAATGAACTTCTGAAACAATATGTTTCAAAGTAATAAGAAAAGCAATAGATTAAGATAAAATTGTCATTATATAGATGATGCATACAAGTTTACAAAAGAAAAAGAGAAAACTGATATAATCCTAAAAAACAATTCTTACCCTTCTAGATAAAAAAATCACTGACTAGGGATGCCTGGGTGGTTCAGTTGGTTAAGCGTCTGCCTTCAGCTCAGGTTGTAATCCCAGGGTCCTAGGATCGAGTCTCACATTGGGCTCCCTGCTCTGTGGGAAGCCTGCTTCTCCCTCTGCTTGCGTGCTCTCTCTCTCTCTGACAAATAAATAAATAAAATCTTAAAAAAAAAAATCACTGACTAAAAATGGCCAGTTCACAAATAAGGAAATGAAATAATAAAACAAGCATTTTATTAAGTACTTCCCATATGCTAGTACTGAAGAAATAAACATGAAGATTCTATCTCATAGTGGAGTTATATCTTAGTTATATCTTAATTGGGAAGATAATTCTGTTTAGTCCTGTAACTACCTAAGTAAAAAACCTTAAAATCGGTTCTCTGAAACTAAAGCTAATCATTATGATTTATATAAATCACTATAATTTATTTAAATCACTATACAATGATTTACAATGCTTCACAATTACATTTGTGCGTACTGTTTTCAGATCAGATGAATTTAGAACCATCGGTTGAATAAGACCGTATTCATTCAATAAGCATTTATAAGACACCTACTACATTCTAAATGAGTAAAACATAGACTAGGTCCTGGTCCCAGTCCACAGTCTATCAGGGAAGGCAGATATGTAAGTAAATAATTTATCATCAATTTGATAAGTGCTAGAGAAAAAAATAAACAAAATGCTATTATAAGGACAGAGGAGGTGATAAAAAATCTTGCCTGAGGATGTCAGAGAAGACTTGTTGAAAACAGGAAAAATGAGAGGGGAGTGATATTCCAAAGAAAATGACACAAACTAAAAAGGGGCAAAGGTAAAAAGTGTATAGTGTCTTCCAAAATTTACATACACTTTGATGTAGCTAAGGGCAGGTTGTGCACAGGGGTATAGCTGATTACTAGCTGCAAAGTGAGGCAGGTACTGGACCCTACAGGCCAGGGGTGCACATGAAAGCATTTGGACTTCAAGCAAGAGTGATTTGACCACATGTTGTATTTTTTAAAAAAACTACTCAGAAAATCTATATGGAGAAATTATTAAAGAGTCTGAGACTAGATATAGAGAAACCATTCAGGAGGAAGAAAGGTTTAAAAGAAAAATGAAAAGAAGATGGGATGTGAGTGATACTAAGAAGTCAGAAATAACAGAACTTAATAACTAACTAATGGACTATGTGAACAAAGGAGAGGAATGAAAATAAAATGGCCTCCTGGTCTGTACCTCAGGCAAAATCATTAGAGTGTCATTAACCAAACCTGGGATAGGGGGAAAGGAGACAACATAAAGTTTTAGAAAATGTTCAGTTCCCTTCATAGTTAACAGAATTCAAATTTAAACATCCATGAGGCACAGTCTTGCATTAATTAAAATAGAGTAAATTAATAAAAATATAATCACTGCTGTGGGGGTATTGGGGGAAAAGATACACTAATACATTGCTGCCCTACAACCTGGTGAAGTCGTTCTGAAAAGAAACTTGGCAACAAATATAAAAACCATAAAAATTATCATGTTCTTTGACCCAGAAACACAACTTTTTGGAATGTAGCCCAAGGATATAATTCAAAAGAAATAAAAAACCTATTTGTATAAAGATGTTTACAGCTATGCTATATATTACAGACAAAAACTGGAAACAGCCCAAATGCCAAACAGTGAGGGAATGGGTAAGCAGACTTTGGTACATTAATGCAATGGGGTATTTTATTGCTATTAAGCATGACAAATATGAGAACTATGTAGAAATAAAAAAGGGCAATATAAAGCAATGAGTAAAAAATGCAGAACTCAAAATGATGCATATAGAATGATCATAACGATGTAAAATTATATCTGTATTACCAGGAGTATTGGAAAAGACTACAAAGCTGGTAATTTAGAGTGCTGACATTTTTGTTATTGTTGGTTGAGTTGCTGGGAATGTTTATGTGTTTCAAGTTATAATTCACTGTATATTTAGTACATACACATCAAGAAAGATAAATCTCCATTTTTTTCTGGCACATAAAATTTTTAAAAGTGCTCATCAGTACCTTTCCTTTCTCTAAGTGATTTTCTCTAACCTCTTGAGTCCTATTAATTTTTGGATGTATGGGGAAGTGGACCCCATCCATACTCCATGACCTTCTAACTCAATCAAATCCCACCCCTTATGGTTATTCATAGCACCATGTACCTTTCCTTGGTATTGTCTTAGTTTTAAGATCAGTTAATTAATGTTTACATCTCCCCTACCATATTGTATGCTCCATGAAGGCAGAGAAAGTATCTGGTTTTGTTTATTACTACATTTCTAGTTCCTAATGTAATACCCAAACATTGCAGTTACTCAAGAAACATTTGTAGGATGAATGAATGATTGACCCTGTAGGTCATGTTACTGAGAGGGCATTGTCAGTTCCATGAAGATACACTGATCAAATCATTAAAGAAAAAGGACAATCCAAAAGAATAGCTACATGGATTAAAATGATAGTTACTGGCCTTGCTTTATTATGTATTATGAACTATGAATAAAGTTCTATACATGTGGTTCTTATCCCTTAGTTGTAACACATAAAATGAAATCAATCTCTCCATCTCCATCACACACACACACACACACACACACAGTAATTTCAAAGTTCAGTTAAAGTATGCAAAAGGAAACCAAGAGCTGCATTTGTGGGTAGGGACCAAGGTCATGAAATTGCTGTGTGAAAAAAAGGGAAAGTTGCTCCTGAAAGAAAAGGGGAGAAAAGAAAAGGGTGGAAAAGGACAGGAGCTGAACTAAGGGCTTAGGGATTCTTTTGTAAAAAGGAAAATGCCTAAAATTAAATTTTGGGTCATTAATGTTGTTACAGTGCAAATCCATATGCCTTCGCAAACCTTCAGTGATGTCTGCTATGTTCATTACCTTAGATCAAGACTAAGCCACCCTAAAAGGGAGGACAGAGTTATAAGAGCCGTCAAGCCACAAGGGCCATCTTGGAGGTTGGCCAAAAGTTTCTCTCCTCTGATAATCAATATTTATCTAACCTCATTTGGAATGTATACCTCTCTGGAAAATGTCTTACTCATCTTTCAATTTTCAGGAAGAACCATACCTATTCCAGAGTATGACAGGATTGCACATGACAGGGTGTCTTGGTATATACTCTGCTCCCGGAGAACTCCTGACTCTCCAACTTCAGAGTTCCCACCCTTTCTGCTCCAGTCACATCTCCACTTTAGGTGTTGGATCGACATACGGCTTCAGCCTTCCTCATACCATTCCCTCAGACATTCCTTCTGACTCTGTATAACTGAATCTAACCTGCATGGATTCAATCTGGGCTGGCCCTCCAACAGGACTGGGCAGAGAGCATTTAACATAGTGCCTCAGCCATAACCAGCGCTTAAAAAAGATTATTAGATTCAGTCAAAATTAATTAAACGTGGTAGCAATTCTAATGCTTTAATCTACAAGTAGCAGTAGTGTTTCTCAACTTTTTAATCCAGCTATACTGGCCAGGGTTTTGTCAAGCTTTACTTTCTAGAAGTGGTCATAAGAATAGAGTAATAATATTTTGACTTTTAAAAAATATAAAATGCAGATGAAATGCTGTAATATTAAATGTGCTTTTTAAAACAATGTAATTCCTTCCAACCTGCCCAGGAGATTGTGATATCCTTCCCCAATTTCACCACCTTCTGCTGACTATGGGAGGCCTGGAGAGATGCAAAGCTCTTCTGCTGTTTGATGGAAAATCACTGATTTAGAACTGGGGAAGTCACTGTGAAAAAAGTCTCTCCATCCTTCTTAAGACCACAAATAACCAGGAAAAATATAAATACATTAATTCATTATATTTATGAATAGTCTTATAAGAACTGCTAAAACATATGACCTACCCATCTAGGAGGGCGATGACGTTCTTCCTGGGTCTCCCAATATTAGGGCCGTACAAGCTGGCTCTGGAGTAAATCCGGATGGGTTGCAACAGGCTCTTCAGCTGGATGTAATCCTTTCCCAACTGGCTGCCATTTACTGCCCGGCCATGCATGGTTCGATAGTTATTTGGCTCTAGATTAAAAGCAGACATGCAAGTCAGAGTTGAGAAGGGTAAGGCTCTGCCAACCCTTTCCTGTCCACAGATCTTTCTGCCTTTTTCTTAACAATGTGAATAAAATAACCAAAAAAGAGAGTGTAAGCTAGTTTAACTTGAGGAACCATTATAACAAAAAGTTAAGTGCCATTTTAGCATTCTACTCATTTTCAAACTAATCTTCACATAAGATCACCTAATCTACAAGAGAGAGACCATGCTGATTTTTGGGTGATACTTTATAATGAATGGTCTACTGGGCTGAATAGTGTCTCCCAAAGTTCATGTCTACCTGTAACTTCAGAATGTGACCTTATTTGGAAATAGAGTCTTTGAAGATGTAGTTAAGATGAGGTCATATGGGATTAGGGTGTGCCCTAAATCCAGTGCCTGGTGTCTTTATAAAAAAAACGAACGGAGAGGGAGATTCAGGTACACAGACACACTGGGAAGAAGGCCATGTGTTGACAGAAGCAAAGATTGGAAGAATGCTGCTATGCCAAGGATTGCTGGCAGCAGCTACTAAAAGCTGAGAAAGAGGCATGGAATAGATTCTCCCTCAGAGCCTCCAGAAGGAATCAACACTGGCAATACTCTGATTTCAGGCTTCTGGTTCCCTGAACTGTGAGAGAATACATTTCTGTTGTTTTACACCACTGAGCTTATGGTAATTTGTTATGAACAGGCTTAGGAAACTGAGACAAATGGTGAGAAAGGAAAGTTTTATAAAGATGGCCATTGTATCAAAAAGAAAAATCTTAATGTTTAATAACGAAGTGGCTGGGTGAAATAATTTAGAGCACAACACCCTCCCTCAGGTTCTATTAACTTGGTAGTTCTAAAAGGGCAAGGAAAGTCCTAAAAACCAGCAACTCCACTGCTGGAGGGAGCTAATTTGATTTGGAATTAAGCACATGCTCCAAGTAGGGCAGATACCTTGGCTACCTTGAGATTTTGTAGTGTCAAGAAATTGACCAGCAGACCTGCAAGAAATTTAACAGGGAGATTTGGGGAACAAGACAGACACAGTGGGCCTTGATAAGCTCACACATACGACATTGCTTTCACCACCATGTCTCCTGACTTAAAAATAGTTTATGTGGAGTTAATGTTACTCCCTTCACCATATTCTACATGGTTTCCTCAGTGTAAAATGTCCAGCACATGCAGGACCACATCTCTGTATGTGACCAGACCCACTAATTAAATAAAAGTAACTCAGCTACTCCACTCTCAGATGGACAGCCCCACTCTTGCAGATCTGTAATTTAAATGCATACCCCTTGTTGTCTGGAAGGCTGTGTATGCTCAGGAGAGACTGGAGAGGGCACTAACTATCCATGTACTCGTAGATGAATGTGAAACCTAGCACATTTATAAAGGAGACAATGAGAAGGCATGCCAGAAAAGAAAAGCCAGTGAGAATTATAAACTGTTTAAATTTGGAATCTGTTCTCCAACTCACACACAGATCCACTGGCAAAGGATGGAAGCCTTACTGGTGCAAAGTAAGCACAGCCTCTAATCAATCATTGTCTAACATTAAGCTATGCTGACTCAGGGACAACCTCTAGGAAGCTGGCCTTAAGAAATGATTAAAAAATAGAAAAACTTAAGATATATCAGCATCTACACAATGCAAGAGAGACAGACTCTACAGAATTAGTTCATGTAAGGCACTAAACAAACAAACAAGCAAAAAAGAAACAACAAAAACAGCCTCTGGGATGGAGGATTCAGAATCCAGAGTTGTTCCAACATATTACCTAAAATGTAAATTTTCAACAACAACAAAAATTACAGCATGCAAAGAAATAGGATAGTGTGACCCATAAGCAAGTAAAAAAGCGGTCAACAGAAACTTTCTCCTAAGGGGCCCAAATGTTAGACTTCATGGGCAAGGAATTCAAAACTACTATTATAAATATGTTCAAAGAGACAACAGGAACAATAAAAAATTAAAGGAAAGTATGATTGTATTGACCAATCAAACATAAATGAAAAGATAGAAATTATAAAAAATAATCAAATGGAAATTTTGGAACTGAAATGATTTTCACATACAGAGGAACACAAGGAAATTATCAGCTGAATTTTTACAAGAAATAATGCAGGCCAGAAGACTATAGGATGACATATTCAAAATGCTAAATAAAAAAAAAATGTCAGCCAAGAATTCTATATGTAGCAATCTATCCTTCAAAACTGAAAGCAAAATTTAAACCTTAACCAGAAAAACAAAGGACAGAATTTGTTGTGAGAAAATCTGCCTTACAAGGAATGAGAAATGAAGTCTTCCAGTTTGAAAGGAAATGACACCAGATGGTGACTCAAAACGGCACAAAGAAATAGAGAACACCAGTAATGGCGGTTGCATAGGTAAATATAAAAGACAGTTGAAAATATCCATTACTCTTTTCTTTTCTTTTTTTTTAATAAAGATTTTATTTATTTATTTGACAGAGAGAGAGACAGCGAGCGAGAGAGCACAAGCAGGGGGAGTGGGAGAGGGAGAAGCAGGCCTCCTGCCGAGCAGGGAGCCCGATGTGGGGCTCGATCCCAGGACCCTGGGACCGTGACCTGAGCCGAAGTCAGACGTTTAACGGTTGAGCCACCCAGGCGCCCCTCCATTACTCTTAACTAATTTAAATAACAGTTACATAAAACAAAAATTACAAAACTGTGTTGTCGGGCTTATGACATATGAAAACATAATGTTTAAAATAATAACGGCATGAAGGAGGGGGAAATTGAGTTCTATCGGAGCAAAGTTTCTATAGTTACCTGGAATTAAGTTAGTATTACTCTAAAGTAGATTGTAATGAGTTCATATGTATTACAATAAGAAACTACTATGAAAATAAGTAAAACAAAATAAAAACAAAGAAAGTAATACCTTAGACAGTATCTCTTCTGCATAAAAAAGTAGTACAGGGGAAACAGAGGAACAAAAAAATGAAATAAATGGAAAATAGCAAGATGACAGATATAAATTCAACCATATCAACAATTACATTAAATGTAAATGGATTGAACACTCCAGTTAAAAGCAGAAATTGTCAGGTTGAATAAAAATCCAAGATCCAACTAAAGAGACAGACTCTAAAATAAAAGATACAAATAGGTTGAAAGTAAAAGGATGAAGAAGATATGCCATGCAAACAGTAACCATAAGAGAGCTGGAATGACTATATTAATATCAGACAAAATAGACTTTTTAAGACAACAATGTTTAAGACAACAATGTTACTAGAGATAATGTGGGGCATTTTATGATGATAAAAGGGTCAATTTGTTAGGAAGATATAACAGTTACAAACATAGACATACCAACAACAGAATACCAAAATACATGAAGCAAAATTAAAGACAAAAATAGAAAAGCCAGCAATAATAGGAGACTTCAATACCACATTCTCAGTAATCAATTGAAAAACCAGACAGAAAATTAGCACTGATACAGAAAACATGAATAACACTATCAGCCAACTTGACCTGATTGATATCTCTACAGTACTCCACCCAACAACAGTAGGATACTCATTATTTTTTTTAGTGCATATAGAGCGTCCTTCAGGACAGACCATATGGTAAGCCATAAAACAAGTCTCATCTATTTAAAAGGATTAAATCATATAATGTATGTGCCCTGACCACAACAGAATTAAAATAGAATTCAACAGAAAGAAATTTGAGAAATCTATAAATATTTGGAAGTTAAACAAATAATCCATAAGTCAAAGAAATCACAAGGGGAATTAGAAGATATTTTTAATGAAATGAAAATGAAAATATAATGTGTAAAAACATATGGGATGACACCAAAGGCACAATCCATGAAAGAAATAATTGATGAACTGTACTTCATTAAAATTAAAAACATTTGCTCTGCAAAACACAATGTTATGAGAATGAGAAGACAAGCCACAAACTGGGAGAAAATACTTGCAGAAGACACATCTGATAAACGACTGTTATCCAAAATATACAAAGAACTCTTAAAGTTTAGAAACAAACCGCCTGATTTAAAAATGGGACAAAGACTCCAATAGACACCTCATCAAAGGAGATACACTGATGGCAAATAAAAATATGAAAAGATAAGCAAAATGAAAATATGTTCCACATATGTCATCAGGGAAAGGCAAATTAAAACAACAATTAAGGGCACCTGGGTGGCTCAGATGGTTGGGCATCTGCTCAGATCATGATCCCCAGGTCCTGGGATCGAGTCCCACATTGGGCTCCCTGCTCAGAGAGCAGTCTGCTTCTCCCTCTGCCCCTCCCACCTGCTCATGCTCCCTCTCTTGCTTGCTTGCTCTCTCTCTCAAGCAAATAAATTTTAAAAAATCTTAAAATAAAAAAAAATAATTAAAAAAAACAACAATTAAATACCACTACATGCCTATTCGAATGGTCAAAATTTGTTAACACTGACAGGACTAAAAACTAGGTAGAATTGTGGAGAAACAGGAATGCTCATTCATTGCTGGCAGGAATGAAAAATGATATGGTCACTTTGGAAGAGTTTGGTGGTCTCTTACAAAACAAAATATATTCTTACTATATGATGCAGCAATTGTGCTCCTTGTTATTTATGCAAAGGAGTAGAAATTTTGTCTTCACTTTTGTCTACACATGAATTTAAAGCAGCTGTATTCATAATTGCCACAACTTGGAAGAATGAATATGTCCTTCTGTAGGTGAATGGATAAATGAACTGTGGTACATCTACACAATGGAATATTATTCAGCACTAAAAAGAAATGAGGTAACAGCCATGAAAAGATATGGAAGAACCTTCAATGCATAACATTAAGTGAAAGAAGCCAATCTGAAGAGACCACATACTGTATAATTCCAACTATTTGACATTCTAGGAGAAACAAAATTAGGGACAGAGTGAAAAGAGTAATGGTTGGCAAAGTTCAGGGACAGGAAGGAGGGATAAACAGATGGATCACAGAGGATTTTTAGG